TCTCTCTCTCTCTCTCTCTCTCTCTCTCTCTCTCTCTCTCTCTCTCTCTTTCAGCATCCCTTTGTTGCCTGTAGTTCTTTTTCTATGGCTGGGGCACCACGAGTTTTCCCTTCTGCTTTAGCTTGTCTATTGGTGTTTTCTTTGCTCAGGTCTTGTTTAGGCAGTCATACAGTTGCATTATCGTAGGGGTAGCTTCCCTGTAGTCTCTAGGAGACACAAGCTTACAGCAGATTTCCTGATCTCTGACTTTTGAAATCTTACTGACACCCTCTTCAGAAATATTCCCTGAGTCTTAGGTGCAGGATTTGTGTTGTAGATGTATCTAGTGGGGCTGGGTACCCCATGATTAGGTGTTCTCCGTATTTTGACAACTTGTGTTCTATAATGGTCATTGTCTGTTGCAAAGGGTTCTTTGGTGAGGTTGGGAGCTGTGTATAAGGTATTTAGAATGTGATTAGGAATTCAACTGGTTTAATTAAGTGGCAGTAGTAGGTTCTCCTCTAAGATCCATAACCTCACTAGCCCAATAGCTGACTAGGTTTCCAGTACTAGGCATGTCCCCCACCCCCAAAGTGGGCTTTAAATCCAGTTATATAGCTTCTGGTTACCACCAAGATATAGAGTACCACTAATGCACCTTTACAGATATCGGCTATGCTAATGGTTGCTGTAGTGCATAGGACCATTGGTTGCTTCCTTCTATTAGTACTTTGCAAAGAACCTTCCAGTTCTATGAAAGTTAGTCCTGAGGGAGGAGACTCTCAAGGCAGATCTAGCTCTGAATCCTATATCTAAAGTACATGGTGTCTTCAGCAATAGAAATGTAGCCCCAACCTCTAGCAACCAAGGGCAATGGTAATAACCTGTACTGTTTTGGGAGTCTCTTGGACTACCCTAACAACTCAAAAGGTGGTCTCTCATATATAATACTAGGGTTCTTTATCAGCTAGTCTATGGCTCTTGAGTGAGCATTGTCAGCCCAAGTGGCTTAATCTCATTTAAACTATGTATTCATATGTATACCCACATTTGTATTACATGTAATTCGGGGTAAATGAAAAATATGATGCCTTGTGACTTTTTCAAGCATCCTTAATACCCAGATGTGATGGCACATGTCATTAATCCCAGCACTCAGGAGGCAGAGACAGGCAGATGTCAATATCAGTGGGAGAGTGAGACAGGAGGATGGCTGTGAGTTGGAGGCCAGTATGGGTGCATGCTGAGTTCCATGCCAGCCTGGGCTGTAGAATGAGACCTTACTGGGAAAAGGAAAAAGAAAAAGAAAGAAGGGAGGGAGGGAGGAAGAGAGGAAAAGGGAAGGGAATGAAGGATGGAGAGAAGGAGGGAAAGAGAGGAGACAGGAAAGGATAAAAGGAGAGAAGGAAGGAAGGAAAGAGAATGAAAGAAAGAAATGAAGCTAGCAATATACCTTAGAGAGAAAGTGCCACAGAGTGAATGCATTTGTGTTTTATTCTAAAGATCCACTGATCTAATAATCCATGTATCAAAAGCACCTGGAAACACATTTGTGCTTTTTAAATACAGACTGAAGGTCCTACCTCTG